TGGGCATTACGTTTTAAATACCCACTGTCGCGAAGACCTCAATTGTCAGTCACACGTGCTTCCACGTACGTATGTACGTAATTATTATTTTCGTACCAGCTCGGAGCGAAGAACGGCGAAGTACGAGGGGTAAATATTACAGATTGACGTAGGTTTTACAGATCTCGCGATTAAATATTCGTTAATTCTCTCTCGCTTCCTTCTAGACAGAAAGAGGTTAAAAGAGGGAACGGAGCATGCAAAACACAGAGAGCTTTCCTAAAAAAAAGGTGTAAAAAGGGTAAACTGAAGGTGTAAACAGTGCAGAGAGGACACTACCGTCGCTATTTATTAGTCGCTGCCCGCAGCAGCTGATCGCCACATCGCGGAGGTGTCGAGTCTCCGCAATTGTTTACGATAACGAGATTAATTTTTAATTGATGGTGCTGCTGTGTGCAAAAATATGACGATATTGCGAGGAAAAATTCCCTCTGTAGAGGGAGAAATCTAAGAGGAGGAAATAGCAACAAGTTGTCCATGTGTGATCCCGTCGGTGCCGAATTAAGCGCACACCTGTCAGTGTTTGTTATTGTTAAATTCGCTACCTGTAGCGGGAATACTCGACGGGAGAGAGACATTTTAACATTTTACTCCTTCGGGGAGGGATTATCGTGATCATCCGCGAGACATTCCGCGAGGAATAATGTACTTTGAAAAAGAGACGTCCTAACCAAGAATTTTTATTCACGAGGAGGACCGAGGGAAAAACATTTAGCAGCCTCGTTAATTCGGGAGGATTTGTATTTTTCAAGAATATTTAAGATAAGGGGAAAAAAAAACGAAGATGGATCTGCTTTATACCGTCAACAGGAAGAGCTCCTCCAAATTCTTTTCCAATCAAGAATGGTACTTTCTTTTTTCTTAATACACGAACAAAACGTTTTTCTCTCGCAGCACTTAACAATATACTCTGTAGAAAATAAAGTATAGATTTTGATGTGTCAAATTCAACTTGGATATTAACTAACGATTTGCTCTTTCTCAGTTTATACAACGGACAGTCGTTATGTTCCTTATCCAGTCGGAATATAGTGGCCTTTACTACAATGACAGAGTTGGACGACAGCAGCGGCAAGACACGTGGCTGCCACGTTTACGTAGCGGACTTAAATATGCCATGGCATGCTCATAGGTAAGCACTTTGATTAGATTCGATCTTTCCAATAATTGTCTCTGTAATATTCCTTGAAGGATATTCCTGTTATGCCGCATCTTTTAAGCAAAGTTTACACAATGCTTTTTTTATCATGCTGGTTTTTTTAACGCATTATAAAACTAGTAGCTAAAGAAATTCTATAAATTATATATATTTTAAAACTAGAGGCTAAAAAAATATAATTTATACAATTACATGGTTTTTTTTGCTGATTTTTTAGCGCGATAGAAAACTGGCACGCTAGTAAGAAAAACAGCATGTAAATCTTGCTTTACCGTTTAACAATGCTTTCGTCAAATTTTTTTAAAGTCAATTGGTCGAGGTAAAGCAGTAATATCATGCTTTTTGTGTGTCTCTAGAGTATTCTCGAATAAACACAACATTACTGCATTGGAATGGGATCTACCTGGTGATAAGCTAGTAATGGCAGACACAGCTGGAAATGTACAATTATGGATGTTCAAGGATCATATTTTAAACGATTGGGTATTAATAGGTTCCACGTGCTTCCCTGGTGAGCACATACTAGGCGCGGCGTGGTTCCACAATGGCAAAAAGGTATCTAGACGAACGAATTGACGCGCTCTGGACAACGAAGAAAGTTTTCAAGTTTTCAGTATCATTAGAATAGAAATTGTATTAAAAATGATTAATATCCTATTATTTTGCACTGTAATAACTTCTTTAAAAAAAAGATGTTCAAATCGCGCGGGTGTATAATGAAAACTCGAAACAGACATGTTGTTTTTATAATTTTATCTTTTCTTCTAATGTCTTCTTTCGTTGATTCTATAGACAGGGCTAGTAACGGAAAAGAAGGACAGCATCCATTATAGCGAGAAATTTAATCACCTACTGTTCCAACCTTCCGTGAGGCAGTTCGGCGGAAGAGCCGCTGAAGGCGTGCTGGTGGTGTCGACAACGGGCATGGTCGGCGCGATCATGATCACGAAGGACCTTCAAAATCCGATTTGCTACTCGACGGAGAGTCTTGGCAACACGAGGCACAAGATAACCGCGGTCGACTTGTGCTACGGAAAAAGTATACGCTCTTGTCGTCAAGTTATAAAGATTTGCGCGAGTGCAGAGGATACAGTGAATGAGTTGGGATAATTTTGTTTTGTGAATTTCAGACGGCGAGGTCCTCGTCGCGATCAGTAGCGATAGCGTCTGCCTGCCCATAAAATGCTTTAGAGTACTGGTACGCAAGAACGACGACAAGTGCACCATCACCTCGCAAGCTTCGCCGAGCTTTTTCCTGCAAGACGGGGCGCCCATAGACAACTCATGTAAGATTACAATTTGAACGGCACATACGATACGGTATAGATATTAGGGCAGGGGTGATTTGCTTCGAAGGTTTCGACATTCGAAACTTCAAATATTCGAAAAAGTAACAGCCCTAATAGATATTTAATTTCTTCATGACTAACTATTGCAATTCTCTTTACTTTCTTTTGCAGGTACAGTGACGCATTTAAAGTTTGTGGTCCGAGAGGATGCCAATTCTCTGGTCATCGCCGCAAACAGCGAGAATGGCGGATTCATTGAGGTGTGGCAGTTGCTGGAGAAGTCACAACCGGTTCACAAATTGTTCCAGCCAAAGACTCTAGAAGGTTCTTTCAAGACGTATGTGAGTATTCTATTAGTCAATCAACATTTTTTGTTTTTACAAGTAAATACATGCGTGTGAATTAAGTGGCAGATATGAAGCAACGAGACAAGATACGTTTAACTGTGGTATTTAAATAACGATCCAAATATCCAAATAGTATTTAATAGTAGTATAATATATTTAAATACATTACTTGTATATTACTACTAAATACTATTTATTTATGTATTTATATATTTAAATAATACATTTATATTTAATAATAAAGAGATTTATAATTATTTTATCCTCGGCAGGCTTGGCAATTCCAATCGCAATATCGCTGCCAGTCGCCGGTCACGGCGATAACAACTACAAAGCTATCCATAGTGACAACTTTGCCGCCTCCCAGTTACGTGATAATAGCACTAGCTGACTCGTCGATACATTGCCTAAATCGTTTGGACTGCCTGAAGGAAGTGGCGTTCTCGTCCCTGAACACAAGCTGGCGATCGGATGAACCTAGCAACAAATACTTCAAGAGCTCCGTGTCTATCGCCCACATGGATCTTTCGTGGCTGGGATGCGTGCTTTTCGCGTGCGACACCAACGGCAATCTGTATCTCTATAAATTGTTGCCGGATGGCACCACGGGTATGACAGCATTTTTTTTTAATTTCTAATTAATTCATTAAGATATGCATTAGTAGCGAGATATTTCTGAAAGATTTCGAAATATGATAAAAACATGATTTCGTAGGTACGTCGATGTCGCTAAGCTACGCCTGTACGTTACTGGAGTACTGTTTGGTGACGGGATTGGACTGGCTGGACATACTTTTATGCCTGAGATCGTCCATGATCGAAGCGCTGTGCGAGCGATTGGACGCCTCCTTCAATAGGCAGCTGCAGTCTACACAGCAGTATCATTACATCCAATTTTTGTCCATCAAGACGTCGTTGTATAGGTGCGTGAACTGAACGCGAAGAAATGTTTCTTGAAAAGATGAATAAGTTTTCTTCTAAATTAGTTTTAGAAAAAATAAGTTTCTTTTAAATTAATTTATTTTGAAAATAAAAGAATATATCGAAGCTAGATAATTGAGACACTTTTGAAGATTTTTTTTTTTAATATGAAAAAGAAGTTTCCTCGAAATTACAAGTCAAAAAGATTAAACGCTTGCAATCAATCGTTTTCAGGATGCTCGTGACGGGGCAGAACAAGGCGGCAGATCTGTCGTCGTTGCTGATGATACACTCTGTAGCTACCGCCTTCAAATCCCTACTGAGACCATCGGACCTGATATCCCACGACAAAGGCCCAGCGGAGAGCTTAGCCGCGGTGATAACCGATGTCATTACTGATGTCGACAAGGTAAATCGAAGTCGAAACTTCCACTTCCTAGTTCTCGAATTTCCAAACCAGATTTCTTCCTTACTCTACTCTTCTATTATTATCTCACGTTTATCAGTGCATAGAACAAAAGTGACGAATTATGGATATGATATAACAGAAGTTATAATTATAGATAATAATTAAGTTTTAATGAAATAAATTGAAACTTTAATATTTTATTGATTATTGATTTGTTCAATGTTTTTATTAGGTATTGCTGCATCTCGATCCCAAAGAGTTTACAGTAGAACCGAGCACGCTGCAATCGCTGCAGCAACTTATTCAATGGGTCGCTGACTTAGCTTTGAATCTGCTGGCCAGATTGCCCGAGCAGAGGATGCAGGTGAAGGCTGGCGGGGTAGGTACTTTTAGCAATCTATCTATTCGCGAAAATCACAAAAAAAATTTCTTGAACCCAGATTTTAATGTTTATTTTTTCTGGTATATTTTTATAAATAAGTGATATTATAAAAATCTTTTACGGCATCAAATGTCCGTGTATTATTGAATTTATATTGCCCTTCATTATTATATGATATAAAAACAACTATAATCTTTCAACTATAATTATAAAATTAATTAAAATTATTTTCTTGAAAATTATATATTCAGTTTTAAAAATTGATATGAACTATCTTATTATATATAGTTTTAATTTATTACTTTACCTTGCAGTATGAGCTTCTTAAGGATCACAAGGCGTTGAATACCGTTCGGGAGCTGTTGGTCATCATACGCATCTGGGGATTGCTCCGCCCGTCGTGTCTCCCAGTGTTCCTTCGCAGCGCGGACAACCTGGATGTCCTGGCCTTGCTGTTTTGCTTGTTATCAAAATTGGTGCAACCTAACGGAGATACGCAGCAACAGGTGGACGACGGTTTGATTGGTAACGTTTATTAACTTAGAATTTCTTAATATCAAATATGAGAATTATAATTGAGTATGATTTTTGTCATTGCAGTATGAAGCTCTAGTGACTTTATTTTATGAGGATCGAGTAATTCTGTGTGAAAAAAGATAGGATTGCCTTTATTTTTGAAATTCTCATATTTAAAAAAAATTATATTAATTTAAAAGTTTCACAATCCAGAAGCACACAGAAAATTCAAAGCACGCAAATTCAATTCTTATCGTGTATTTATATTTGCTATTTGATTACCGCGACTGTCAGGAAGTCTGATAAAAATACCACATCCTGAATCATGAGAGTAATTATAATATTACTCTATTAGAAGTATAGTTCGCATCGTGTGTAACAGTTGTGCAGTAATATAATTGCGCAATAATACAGCTACACAAGTACATAGATCAGAAGAATTGTTAGGTATAAATACACCTTGTGTGTGTGGCGGTTCAATTATTACATTTCTCTCAACATAATACAGCACTAATAAAGTAACACGAGTCAAGAGAAGTGCAACGTGAGACACGCTGGAGAGAAAAAGACTGAATTCCACGAGGGTACAATGACGTCCAAGCTTGCGATCAAGCATAAAGACTCCCTCGTCTTGAAGGAAAACAGACCGCAAGGAAAGAACGGCGTGACAGAACAGTCCAAGCTGAAGATATGCGAGCAACTGTCGTTGCCTTGGTTAACCTTGGGCGTGTTCTTGATCTACTGGCTCGTCCTCTGTCCTCTAACTTGGGCCATAAGCTACTACTTTTGGCCGTTCCCGTACTGGCCTCCGGCTATGACTTATCTCTTCTGGATAGTCGCATTTGTGATCTGGCTCGTGATCACGTGCGGGCTGATAATCTTCTGGCGACGTCTCCAAGTTGAACAAAGCCTTGAAATTAACACGACCCCGAAATACGGCTCGGATAGCGAGAGGAGTCCTCTGAGCGCCCATCAGATATTATCCGAAGACGCGGAATTTCTCGAGACGGAGAAGCGGAACGATTCCCACGAGTCCGAATCTAAGAAGAGCGATCGAGGAAATCACCTCAAGAGGGAACTGCCGCCTTTGGTGATACACAAACAAATATCCGGTGAAAACATGGAAGATACGTCTGGGACGGTACGTGTCGAGGACGATGAGAGAAGTGGCTTGAATCACATCGCCAGTGATTACGCCGAGAAGAGCGCCTTGCAGGATTATCTGAAGCTGGTGACGGTATCGCCCTCGGAGGAGGTCGAGGTGAAATCCCCGAGGACGCCGATGTCGCCGAGGGAGTTGTTCTTCATCGACCTGATCCGCGAAGCGGAGAGGGCCGAGAGCGCAGGAACGCGCTTCTTCCCGAGCGAAGCGACTGAGAACGTTGATGCAAAAACCAACCACGTGAATGGTACAACGGGTGGAGAGGATACGGCGGAGCACAGAAAGGACATGAAAGACGCGGAGGATGCAAAGATAGACGAGGATAATAAATGGAGATCAAAGCCGGAATCGAGTTACTTCATAGCCGACGTGGTGGAGAGTCCAACCAGGGAGAAAACGGAGGTCTTCCTGCAGATCGATCCGAGCGTGGGCGAGGAGACTGGGGAAATTAATTGCGGAGAAACCGATGCTGATACTGCAATCCATTGAAGCAAATTCGCAAGAGACTTCCACTTCGCCAAGTTTTAATTAAATTGCCATGGACGATTACTTATGGACAATTAATTAGATAACTCGAGAAATATATGGTCTAAACCTAGAAAAGGATTCAAGTTTTGTTCAAGGAAAAGCTGCTGTATAAATAAAGGATATCGTGTAGAAACGATATAAAAATGTTGGATACGTTAAATCTGCTTTCTCTTCTCCTCGTTCTCTCTTCTACGAAAGTTCATCATTTAATTATTATCACGTATAAGCTATTCATCTTATCACACATACAAGATACACATCCTACGATTAATTTAAAATCGCGCGATGCAGCAGAACTTCGTTAATTTTCGACGCAGAAAGTTTTTAAGTACAGCATTTTTTTTTCAGATGAATGCTGCCTGCTACCAAATCAGATCATGATTCCGCAACTGCATCAAGGCAACAGCATCACCGCCATAGTCTCACCGATTTTGTTTTATCAGAATCTTCCGTTGCAGGTGAGAATTGCGAGGCTTGCAATCATATTCAAAAAGAAAAGAATGCTATTAGAATTACTCCTCTAAAAAATATTCAAAATTTTTTGCTAATTTATGTACACATAAATTATTAAATTATTATACATATATATATATAATAATTTAATAATTATATATATATATATATATATATATATATATAACATATATTAGGCATACATATTTATTCACTATTGCCATTTTGTGATTGCAGCTAGAATACGGAGTGGAACCTGAACAGTTGGTTTATACGCCTGAAATGAATCCCGTGGAAGGCTGCATGCACAGCGGACAGATCGTGGACACAATACGGCACTTGTATTTAGGAAAGCAGCCGCTTCTGGTGAAGCAATGCACGAGGTATTGACATAGATTATGCCAGTTACCAACTAAAAAAATATAATTAAATATAAAAAAAAAATATATATATATATATATGTTATAATATATCGATTGTTTTATATATATTTTTTTTTCGTTATATCTTTAGATGTGGCGGAAAGGCGCAAGTACAAAATATGACGAGGACAGCTGCGATCAGAGCCTGGGATCAACGATGGACGCGAGCTTGCCGATGCGGCGGCATTTGGCGTATTCACAAAGCCTCTCAATAAAGGGCACTTAAGAATTTTTGTAATAGTAAAGGGTTCCCCTTGGAAGGTCTCATTGTAAACCATGATACTGCAACTACGGATATCGAAAATCCATATAAAAGAAGATGAGTTGCGAGACATACACGCGTATAAAAAAGGTAACAAAGAGATGGAAAGTGTGTATTTCAAATGATTCGGCCACCACGTTAAAACAGAAATTTACAATCGAAAGCTATTTCGTTTATTTATACTTCTTGTGAAGTCACTCAAAGTCTCTTGCAGTGGTTATTCTCTTATCGTCATCAGCGAAAAGAGTCTGTATGAATTTTTTCTTTCTTTTTAATGCGAATCTAAATGGAGGAAATGGTGTAAAATTAATTAATCAAACGACGCATCGTTATACGAATTACTTCATTAAGGAGGATATAATGTAAGTGTAATTGCAGATGAGCGTTTATAGAAAAATGAAATCGATATGTACCTCGCGGAAGTCCTTTGTACGTTAAGCGTATATGCGAGCTGTAAAGCATTCTCATTAATTAATAAGATTTTACTTACGATAAATTATGAATGATAAATTAATTATATAAATTATTAGTTTCGTAAATTGATAAAAAATTATTACATGCAAAACTGTATGGTAATCAAATCGGATTTTATTATTGTTTCAAGATTCTCGTTACACCGGCTTTTCTTTTCCTCCTTCCTCTCGTCTTCCATGCGAAGAAAAAACCATAGGGGAATGTTAGTAGGCAAATTCGAAATTCCTGACGATATATCCTGATATATTATTGTCGCAGGAAAGTCGCTCAATGGCTTTCTCCCTTCTTGCCGGACACTCGCTTGAACTCTCCCATATTCGTAGTCGAGATCGGCGAGCCGATTACGACTAGATGATCGATTCTCGTGGTTTCCGAGCCGTTCTGATTGTCTATCACAAAGATTTGAAGATTCTGCACGTTCTGGAACTTGACGTAGCGCAGCGGTACCGGATTCCCCTCCTCGAGATCCTTGGCTGATAATCTGCACCGAAAATGCGCATATTAATTTATTTTATTAGAAAAAAAGCAACGAGAGACAAACAAAAGTAAAAGAAATTCCGTTCTAACATTACACTAGAAGCAATATAATGAACGTTAGAGAAATCTATCTTCGTCTTAATAATTTTTTTTTTTATTGACCTGCGATTCGAAAGGTATTCAATAGTTTTCAGTCATTAGATATTCAATAATTTTCATTTGTTTTCTTGTTCTTTCTATTCTTCCACCGTCTTGAATATATCCCGTATCATTCGAGGCTTACGTTAGGTCTTGAATGCTCGTGTTGGAGCTCGCCATTTCAAAATCGATTGTCCTGGGCTGGTTGATAAACAGCTTGATGTTCCTCGGCCCGTTTTCCGTGGGTGCTTTGATCTTGAGCGAGTGAACCTTAACTGGCTGCGAGAACGTGATGGACATTATCAGCTGCTCGTCCTCGTCGCTCTGAAGATACCCACTGTCCGAGTTCAAGCACTGAGGGAAAGTGTGATAGTCCGACTCGTTTAAACACTCGCACTGCTGCTTCATTATGAAACTGGACAGGTCCATCTGAAAAGAAAGGAAATCCCTGAAAGTTGTTCGGTTAATTACCGCAATCAGCGAAATGCAAGGGATGAAAGCAAGCTCCAAATGAAGTAAAGTGCGATTTAGAATAATTTACACACTTTGATTCAAACTGCAATGCTGAGATGTATAAAAATCGATCTCTGCGAGATCTAGTTGAAATAGTGGAAAAGCAAAAGAGAGCAAAAACTGTTCCGAGAGAAATGTATTTCGAAATTTTTTTTAATCTTCTAAGATTTTGCAGATAAAATTAGAACTTTTTTTTTATAATTTCACGCATGGGAAGCATTAAAAACTGTGTATATCCTTTCTTTAGCTAATGTCAAAATTACGATCTTTTTACGTTTTTTTTTCTAGATTAATTTCACCCAAGATTATATATTTGTTAGCACTGATGAAAAATTATGTTAAAAATTAAATTTTTTCCAAGTACTTATTTCGCTTGTCTAATTTAATTTTGATGTAAATAAACTAGATTGTACATAATCTACATGTTTATACAATTTCTTCAATTGTACGGACTTTTTAAATATGTTTCTCTGAGTCTCATTTTAATCTGGTGTAAATTTTTCAATATACAAATCTTAGCAAATTAGTATTTAAGCACTTATTGCATAATTACGACAAGTAATGTTAATCTCTTACTAATTTCTCATCATTTGTTCAAGAACTAAATTGTGAGATTAATTTGCATTTATCGTGCTAGGTAGGATCATTCAGATAAAGGTCATTAAATCACAAAACATGCAAGTATCAAAGTTATATTATTTCCAGTACAATATCATTCAGATATACATTGACAATATATTTTATAATTAAAATGAAAGCTAAAGAATTGCTAAACTAAAAGCAAAGTAAGTCTTTTAAGTTACATAAAAAATGCGAAATTATAGAAATATATTTTAAGAATAAATGAAGCTTAAGCCTATCGAGTTTAATTAGTTTATTTTTACTAAGTTTATATTTTTCTCTTAGGCCAGTAATCCTGGTAGTGTATCATTTAAATATAGATATTCTATAAATTTACTTTCTGAAGTTTGATTCTTATTCAAGCAACGTAAAAATGGCATAATTTTTGTACCCAAGTTTTACGTGCGTGAATACTAAAATTCATCATATCAAAATCTCAGTAATTAGTTCTCAATAGTTTATTTGAAATGATTTCCATAACAATTTCTCACTTGACACATCATATAAATGTGTGATACTTTGATATTTGCATAATCGAAAACATCAGCGCGTGCTCAGCACAGTTCCACTTTTTCAATTATAATAAAATTTAATTAAATAAAAATAATTTCGATTATTATTGAATAAATTAAAAAATTCGCAAGGAATTTTAAATTATATTAACTTTCTCTTGACAAAACTAGAGATAGACGAAAAATTTTCCATAGAAAATAATGTATACGTGTGTGATAAGCACACCAGGTCTTTTAAAAAGTTTTTGTAAATATGTGGTTTCAAAAAAGTGTTAACTAAATTATTCATAAATTGAATATCCGTCGTGCGAAGTCCCATATTGTGATCTTATTCATTTTATGAATCAACTATGAATGCTTACATAGTAACGTTTTCCTGCAGATTCTTCTGCTACTCTTGCAATGTGATCATGATAAAGAGAATTTTTGGAAGACAAAATGCATAACACATTTTCGTTCTGTGCGTATGCTATTAGAATGAAAGAAAATAATGACTGACTTTACAGTAAACTTCACAATAAGGCCATTGTTTTACATAGAATGGACATTCTGCACGCGAAATAATTGTTGTCGCAACCGACGGGATCGAAAAAAAATTGCTTAATGTGAACTTAATAAAAATGTGAGTTAAGAATTTCCGCAAACACGAAGCTTCGAACGTTGAAATTTTGTGAGGAAAATTTTATAGGGAAAAAAAAACATAAGCTGATGTCCAAGAGGCTGAAGTAGTCGAATTAATTTCCATAGAACAATCTCTCTCTCCCCTCCCACGGATCGGCTAACGTTAAACGACAACTTAGTGGCAAGCTTTTCATTGGTACTTATTCCAGTAAAACAGAACCGCGGCGAGAAAAAGCATTCCGAGAACGTGATAGTAGGCATTGCCGGTGTTTCGTACATGGCCGGGCAGAGAGTCCGCGCCCGAGTCGTCCGCGTCGTCGGCGTCGCCGCTGCCATAGAACTGCTGGATCTTGGACTCCAGCCCGACCGGGTCCGCGCCCTGGCAGTGGCCCAGCCTCGTACGCCTGCGGTAGAAGATGAAGGTGGGCATCGCGGTGACGTCCTGAACCGCCGCGGTGTCCGAGCACTTGTCCACGTCCACCTTCAGGAACACCGCCTTGGAATACTTGAGCGACAGCTGCTCGAATATCGGGGCGATTCTTTGACAGGGTCCGCACCTGCGTAATCAAATCGGTAAATTAATTGTAAAGCTATGATCCTTTTGTTCTTAGGACTTCCCATTCCTTAGCTCGTTGCTAAAAATGGGGGGGTACGTTTGCATACAAAATCAAGAGGTATGCAAGTAACAATTACACTGTATTAACAGATATCAATAGACAGAAAGTTTTTAGAACAAAAAAACATTTTACATGTATTACACACGGTATGATATTCTTAATCCTAAATATAAAAACGTCACTCTCAGTAATTGCTTGTTCGTTTCCACAATGTTGGAAGGTAATAAGATGAATTTTTTTTTTCGCACAAAAAAGACATGGATTAACAAATGTATTTTTATTAAATTTAACAAAATTTGAAAATCTGAGTTGAACCAAGCATTCTTCTCTTCTTTCTCTTTCGTGAGACGTGGATATATATTTTATTTTATGGATTTGCTTAATAAAAATAATCAAAATTAATTTTTATATTTAAAGCAACATACAGTTTTGTTGCATATTTTGAGCTAAAATGATTTTTTAATATATCTAAATGACTAAAATGAAAGGTGCTGCAGTCCTCTTCTTTTGTGATTAGAAGTGGACGATTGAGAAATAATTAAAGAATTTGTTTTAAATTCTTATTTGATTTGTTACGTGATAAATTCGCTCAAGATTTGAAATAAATATTAAAAAAACGAAAACAAATTATTGCAAAAAATATACACCTGTCTTCAAATATCATCTAATTTTGTGAAGTGTTTTTCTGTAAAAGCATACATTTCGACCTCTAACATGCTTTTCCCTTGGAAAACACTGATAATTTTATAATTTTTATTTTAATCCCTTCAAAAATGAATATACATGAAATAGAATATCAATTGATCGTTCGATTTTAAGAAATTACAATTTCATCAAAAGTTATGAACAGTCCACAAAAATTGATTCTTTTCAAATCATAATGAAAATTCAACAAAAAAAGATAATTAAAAAAAAAAGCAATTCGAGGGAACGCACGTGATCGAAATCATGTGTTAATTAAGAGGTCGTGTCGACTTTGTTAGGAATACTTTGTTAAAAATTCCAGAACGCTGGAATACAATCGAATTAACACAAGCGATAAAGGCGAGGAACATAACCTAACACAGGCACTCACCAACTGGCTGTGAAATCTACGACGACGAGTTTCTGGCCGGCGTTAGACAATTCGCCATTGAAATGACGATCGTCGTTAATTATTCGTACCGCTCCCATTATATTTCGATTAATTACATTAAATTCACCGCACCAAAATCCGCCTACCCACTGCACAGAGCCAAACCGAGATTCAATCGCGATGAAACCGATTCGAGAACAATGACTGGCAGTTTAAGTGTACCACACGTCGGCTGCGTTCGAAAACATTACCCGAGTGGCCCCGTGTATCATTTTATCCTTTATTCAATATTCGGTGAACAAAAAGGATAAAATAATACACACGGGGGCACTCGGGTGATGTTTTCGAACGCAACGATGGAGGTACTGTACACGTACAGTCGAATCTCGATGTAACTCGAATCTCAAGGGAAGAGAACAACCCTTCTGAACTATGCTGAATTGACCAATCGGGTGCCACTACTCTTACCGACAGGCCTGGCAACAGCTTTTCAAACGTGCCTACAGATCGCAGCCGTGCGTTTTTACGAACGCAGCGCGGGCATTTGCCGGCACGTGTCGCGCGTATCGTGAACGTGACGGCGGCGCGGGAGCAGGGCAACTCGGTTGTGAGCCTCGGAAATCGGAGTGGATAATTGACAGTTGGACGTGGTCGGAGGGTCGGGTGGTCGTGCGGTAAGCTTCCGCGAGGAAACTCCAAGCGAATCGGCGGCGTCGCGGCGAATTCCTCGTTGAAGTTCTTCGCTCGCTCGAGGCGTCACGAACGACACAACGGCGCGGCTCTTTCAGGTTATGCCGTGCCCTGCCCCTCCTCGATCGCTGCTCCTCGGCGGGAGACGCGACCGCGCGCCGCGGCCGACGTCGCCGCGTCGTCGCCGTGGTGGACTTTGAGGGAGCGCTCCTAGCTCGCTCCGTTCTTTTAGCGCGCGCTTTTAAACGCCCTCCACCCCTTCTCTACCGTGTGCCATGGAGACCGATCGCGACGCGTTCAATTTCACGGCCGTCCTCGCCCCGGCTCTTTTAACCTTCGCCACGTGCCTGACGATCTTCTACCGGCTGAGGTGAGTCACTCGTATGCACGTGTACGTACGTCCGCACCGCACGGCGTGCGTTTCGTATTATAAAGGTTTTTCCACGTTGCTGCCCTCCCCCTCCCTCGGGTGGACGCCTCGCTCATCGCGATTACGTGTCGTTTTCAGGGCGAGATGGCCCGTGAAGGTGAACTGCTGGTTTTGCAGCGAGAACACGAAGATCTGGAGGCAGCACCTGGACTGGTGGCTGTGCCCCTGGTGCGAACAGTACAACGGCTTTGCCAAGGTAAATTGCGCTTTATCTAGCCAGTCATTTTATCCTTCTTTCATCCCACGCGCGGCTCGTCAATTTTCTGAAAGATTTTATTTCTTGTACATGTGTATACCAATGAACGCTCGGTTCCAGAATGGCGATTACGCGTACGACATTCCGGAGCAGTACGCAACGCCGAGAGTACGTACGAGATACTGCAGGCCGCAGGCCGAGGTAGGTGGCAACGGCCGTTCTCACGTCCTCAGGGGTAATCTCTGCGAGTGCTGCAACAAGCGGGAAAGCCTGAAGCTGTCGGAACTGTCCAGCTTCGAGCCCAAGAGCGAGAGGCTTTACGACGCCGAGCTGAGGGCGTTCAGGGAGCACCTGGAGGCGAGGTATCCGCTGTGCGACAGCTGCAAATCGACGGTGCGAGACGTGTTGCGCAGGCAGGCGGCGTGGCTGACTCGTTGCAAGATGCTCCTCTTCAGGCGGAGGCCGATTAAGACGCTCGTCGGTGTAAGTGCATTTTGCTGCAGGAATCGCCGTTGTTAAGATTTATGTTCGATATCCCAGACGTGTATTACATCACAATTGTGTATCGCAAATATCTCTCGATAGCTTCCATTAAGCCCGTATCAGACTGCGAATTGAAGATTGAAGATTGCGAATTGGAGATTGGAATTCGATCAGTCAATTTTAATCAGTTTAGTTCTCGATTAATCGAATTCTATTTTCCAATTCCTCAGTGCGCGGTGTGACAAGGGCTTTAAGTCTTACATCGGATTGCCTAAGCATTGGAGATTGAGGATTGCGATTTGTAGATTGGAATTGGACCAATTATCGGGGATAATTTCAATTCGTTTCACTCCAATCGATTGAATTCTGATCTTCAATTCGCAACTCGATCTTCAATCTCGTAGACTCCATGCCCTCCTCGGCGTGCAGTTGTAGCAATAAATAATCATTGACTAGTACTGTTGCAGAACGCGAAAAAATGGGAGACAACTTTCCGCGCTATCTCAACGCTCCTGGTCTCGACGGTCATATACAACCAGAATTTCATTTGGCCACCAATCGGCGGGCTGTTCTTTCACCTGTGCGCTTGCTGGGCGAGCTCGATGAGAAACCGGAGATTCGACGTACCGTTGATACCTTTATGGCTCTGCGTGATTAGTCTCGTGTTCATCGAGGATTTGACTCTGGCTCAGAATGTCTGGCTCGCGACGGAAGAGATCACGCAGTACCGCATGGTGAGCTTGAACGAACGGGAAATTATTTTATTATTATTCTCGAATGTGCTCGCACATTTACATGCAGTTTATCCATGTCTTTTTCCAGATAGAGGTATGCGCATTCATCACAGCCTTGGTGAGCATAAGATCCAGCTTGTGTAAAGGTACATTGACCGGCTCGGTGGCGTTTAAGAAGATCAAGTTGCACTCGCGAGATGCCGTCGTCTCGCCTCGGCTCGCGTACAACAGTCGGGGCAGAAACAGTAGCGCTCCGAGCGAGGCGAACGACAATATTAAACCGTCGGTCTACGCGGCGGACGAGTTAGCTTCCGCCGAAATCAAATTCGCGTTCAGCAAGTCGCATTCAGCAATGCAAGTATCTCACGTAACTTCCGCTCCCCTCGCGGTGAACGCTTCTATTATTTATCTATTTATTCCTTTTTGTTTATCTCTAGACTGAGGCAGAAGCTGTCCACGATCACGAACGCGAGCGAGCGCGGCATCAACGGTTATCTGAACTCCGTCTCTCCGAATGAGTACAGTCCACCGGACAGCTGCTACCTGAACGACAGCCTGAGCTCCCTTCTGCTGAGCGAGGAGTCATCGCCGCGAGGCGGCAGGTTCGCGAAAGCGACGCCGGCGATCTTCGAGCGGAGGGTGTACAGCTCGACAAGCTCCGAGAATCTGTTCAGGCGATCCAGCAGCGGTGCGTACAGCAGCAAGCGCAGGTGCATCCTGTCGCCGCCGAAGCTCCGATCGGTGACGCAGACCTCGTGGGTGGCGGGCGGTTACTGGCAGGAGGGTATGATGACGACCGCCACGCCGCCGCTGACGCTGTCGCGCTCATCCAGCCAGAGCTCCGGCTTCGGGTCGTCGGTCGGCTCCTCGAATCTCGCGCCCTCGCGCGAGCCGTCCGTGCACGAGTTCGACCGGTGCTCGGTCGTGTCGGAGGCGACGCGATGGTCGTGCCAGACGACGACGACGCCACGGCCGGGCCGGCAAGTCGCGAGGCACGACTCGCCGCGGCCGCAGTCGCGGTACTCCGACGTCGCGGCGGCGACGGGGAGTCGCGAGCGAGCGACGGTGCCGTCGCCGGTGGCGCTCGACGACCGCGTCCGGGAGGCGGGTGGCGCACGCAGGCCGGACGTCGAGATGCGAAACGGCTCGGTGCCGTCGGCGTTCGCCGGTCATCACGCAACGACGACGACGACGACGACGATCGTCGCGAGCCCCGGCTGGCTGTCCGCGCTGCTCTGCGGCTCGCTGATACTGAACATGATAGTACTGTGCACCACGCTGTTACGTTAAAGTACAGTCGCGACGATCGATCGCGCGGAATCGCCGCGGATGTCCGTTCTGTGTGTTCACGCGGATAATTTTTATCAATCGGCCACGGCTATTTGTTGTGATCTAGCTAGCGTTAATCGAAACGACCCCGAGTACTCGGGGGCAAATCTGTAGTCTCGAACCTCGGAAGATCCTCCGTTCCGCAGTTGTTTTTCTCTCCTCCCTCTTCGCGTGCGATCTTCCACTGCCCTTAGGTTCTAAGGATTTAATCAGGATTCAATAGAATTAAGTCTTCGGGTTACTCGGGAATATACTTAGGGGTGATGAAATCACTGCCAATTATTAATAGGGGACGAGCGCAACGTTCTACTGCCGGTGAAACAGTAAATACAGACGTTACACTGCCAATGTACTTGCTCGTCGAACATATCCGCCAGTATTCGCCTCCTCCTCTTTTATTAAGGACACACCTGTCCTCGCAGAGACGCGCTGCTGCGATGGCTCTTGTCCTTTGGCCATCGGCGTCTCGGTATTTCCGTACTGTGTATAAATTACACATTTTTTCATTTGTCCGCTTTTCTTTTTTATTACCTCTGTGCTCCAGCAAGTACATGCCCGGTTTGCCATTCTCGAAACGTGATCTTAAATTGCTCGGACGTAGGGCTGGACTTTACGGGGCAAAGTGCGCTCGCTCAATGCCGAATTCCGCGAGTCCACGATGCAATCCTTCCGGATTAAGACGTGAGGGGGACTTGGAAGACTATTCGCGCGCCTCATCTTCCAGGGGGATGACCTTGCCCGACGGGGAAAATCGCTGCAAAGTGCTTCGTTTAAAATATATCGTTTTCGTTTGTGTTTGTATATGAATATTAGAGTGCACTTTACACACACGCGTCTTCCCCTCCTCGTGCAGAATCATCCAAAGGATGGGACGCGCGAATGTCTCCCTTTTCACGTTCTGTAGTTAATACAAAAAAAAAAACGTCGAGCCTCAGTGAAAGATACGTATGGTAGCTTTATATAGGTAGTGAGATAGGTATATATACCTATATTTGTTTACGCGAATATTTTCTCGTTTTTCCATATTTATCGGTTGAAAAGAATCGATTGTACATACTGCCGGAAACTTTGTAAAGAAAAAAAAAAAGAGAGAAAAAGGAAAGGTGCGCTCTGCGATACAGGTACACACGCGCAGCGCAGGTCACTTCTTAGCCCATGGACTAGGAAACTTGTTGTACTAATCATGTTGCTTATTGTATTCCGATTATTGTATGTTTTGATATGTACGATATTGTACAATTCTACCGAATAAGAATAAAAACGTGAACTTTTACATTTACGGACTACTGTCGCCTTCACTTAATTCCTGCCGAGACGAGAGAAGATAATCCTCAAGACGCAAAGAGGTGAAACGGAGAGGTAATCGCATACGAATTGACCGAGGAACGTCGAGGAGACAAGTTTCTTAAGTGCTTGTATAACGACTTTGAAAACGTGACGCGTGAATTAAACAGGGCAAACTAGGTTTAATCCTCTCGGCTCGAAATCGTCGGACAGGGGGCGAGACAGGGATCTTTATCGCACAACGAGAGATATGTGTATGTATAATATATTTTTTTTTATTATATTACCTTATAAATATATTTCTTTCGGAGATTACTTCGCCGGGACAATATGCGGTGCGACAATAAATAAATAAGTGACAATACAGTCGTGTGATTTTTTTTCCCATTGTTCATTGCATTCTTCAATATATAAGCACTGTCGTTTTCTTTTTTTTTTCTTCGATAATCGAATAATAATAATAATAGTAACGATATCTTAAAATTACGGTTTTAATCCGAGGAGAATATTGTATTACAATTTAATAATAGTACCTTGTTAGCTACAGCCTCTCTTCTACACCCTGCATACAAATTTACTACCACCTAGTGTCTAGGAGAAACAAAAATGACGTTAGAATTGCAGCTATGAGTTTCTTTTTTTTTCTCGTATTTTTTTTCGCTACTTCGCTCTGTTCCAGATGAGGTAGATCCGAACTCGACCGCTGATGCGGTAAGTGGGTCTCTCGCGTGAGAGACAGGAAAGCAAAAATCGTTACAAAAATCGTTGCATAAATCGCGTCGGGAAACCTCAACGAGCTTTCGGCTCGCCGAGATCGTCTCTCGACAATGGAACGGGTCTTTTTTTTTTTAATGCGTGTTCTCCTTTTCGAAAAATCGCGGTGAAAAAAAACAACGAAAAGCGCTTCGCTCGTCGTCGGGACGAACGGGACTGCCGCCGGTTGTAGATCGACCTCCTCTTTAACAGTGAGACTGACTTGGATGGCTGCGTGCACATAAATCTCGCCTACTTGACTGCGGATAAGTGTGTAGTGTATCATTATTCCTTTTCTCTTTTCCTTTTTTTCCCCCCTTTCTCAGACACACGCCGGAGACATTACGAAAATAATATATACCGATATAGAGCTCTGTCTTCTTCCCCGCGCTCGTCGGCGAACATCACTCGATTACATTTTACACATACATCGTTAATAATAAGAATTCGATCGTTGCTGTTGCGCTTAATTAAAGGATTGTTATCGCCTATCACAAAGATCCGGTTAGCGATTTCTTACACATGATTTCTTACGTAATCTCGGCTTCTTAAATTACGTCGCGAAAAAGGAACGGGGCGAGGGGTGGAGGGGCGGGGAAGGGGGATCGAAATCGACGATCGCGGAGTTACAATTGTTTATCGAAGCCGATGAGATTTTCGTCGATAATTTAATTAACCGGCAGGAGAAAGAGAGAAATTCGCGGCCCGCATTGCAGGCGCAGTTATACAGTTTTCTCAGCGCAACATGATTGACGGGATGAGAAATACATTCATCAGCGTCTAAAGGGAATTACGCGCGTCGCATCGAAGAGAGAAACACTAACATTATTTAGATGTGTATTTGTGTATTATATCCTTCGATAAATACAATCGTGCATTAGAACGGCATGCTTGCCCTCCTCCGGAAGGGAACGTACCCTTCCCTCTACGCGTTCCGTCGCTAACGTGACACGTTACATGGTGTGTGTATATATATATATATATATTTATATATATGTATAATATATATATGTATCGTATTATTTACATACACCCGACAAAAATAGCTTAACGATAATTGCACTCGCATTAATGCACCACACGCTTGTCGGCCGTCTTCGCCCACGTACGAGGCAAAGAGGGGAAAAAAGGAGAACGCAACTTCCTTGTCCTCGATACAGTTATATATCACAAAAGTTGAGAGATAGATAGACAGATAGAGAGAGCGAGAGAGAGAGAACTTGAATGGTGTGATAAAAAAAAAAGAAATAGAGTATTAGCCAAATACTTGTTCTAGGGTCGCGTTTACATTATACACCTCGCTCCCCCGCGCCGTGCTCTCTTCACGAAGGAGCTTCCGCAAGGGCGCAAAACTCGCTTGTGTACCCGTGTTACCGTTAAAATAAATCCCGCGAGCGCTCTCAGTTTAGCTCGGCCCCGAGAATTTCCGCGTAGAAGGTCGACAAAAAAAATCCGTATTTTATAAATAACTTGCGACGGGCAGAGGGAGAGATTATTACGTCGATTACGAGGGTGATCGAGTCTGTCAACGCGACGGCGACAATAAACGCGGCGGGGATAACGCCCCGCGGTAACGAGGAATGCCCGAGTGCCGTGAAAGTCCATCCGTTGGCGGATAATTGCCCCGGGCCATTCCACGATCGGGTCGGGCGCGATTCGCGTTTTTTTTACAAATTGGTTCAACGATACGGCAATCTCGGGCGCGCGTGATCGTACATAGAGAAGCCTTACAAAACGGATTTACAAAGAGGACGTTGTACAATGTTTCGCGTGTAAATTGGGCGGGAAAAAGAGCGTAGAAAATGACGTGATACGAGACGCGCAAAAGAATCGCGAGCTAGGTTTAACAAACAAAAATAATATAAAAACAAATCGCGAGAATCTCTCGAAAAGAATCAACGATGACGACGCGCGAGAGCGAAGCTCCGGCCTCTTCCTCGTTCCTCCCTTCTTCTTCACTCCTTCCTCTCACGCGGAACGCGGAGACTTCATCGGCTCGCTCGTGATCGAAAGAAGCGAGGAAGAAGAAAGTTCCGAGGCCCGCCGGAAGAAGAAAGCCCGAGGCTTCTCAAGGTCACTCATTAGCCGCCGACGGGCGGCGACGGCAGCAGCAAGAGGAGCGTGTCGGGGATAAATTAATCTAAATTAGACGCACGCGAGAGAGAAACGCGGCGAACTGTATACGCACGATGTCCACGGCGGTCGTTCAAATCGCTCTACTTCCCTGTCGCGGAGATAGATCCTCGTGAATTCTCGTCGCTCCTACCGCGACAAGATCGCGCACGGTCCGGCCGCCGTGACGCGCCGTGGGCGTTCTGGAGAGACAATTCCTCGCTTGACCTTGAGCGTCAAGCGTGCCTTCCGGCGGGACGCGCACTGGGACCGCGGGGACTCCTCGGGTCCGCGACGCTAGAACTCGCAAAATTCTCGTCTCTCTCGGGGCGAAACCAGACAATGTTATCGTCAGTCGAATCAGTTTCAATTGTGACACTGAGACCCGTTTCCAGCGGTGTAGACTAACTTCAATCTCGGTTTAATACTCGCCTATTTATTTTTTTCCGGTTCTAGAAGAATCAGAAAAAAATAAAGAGCGAATTAAATCAAGACCAAAGTTAATCTACATCAGTGGAAAATGGGTAATAATTGCAGTTGTAATCTGTGTTCGCTGGGCGAGATCCTCCTCCGAGTTGCCGTCCGCGAGTTCTAGCGGCGAGTTCCGAGGATACACAAGCCTTTAAACCGTGTGCTTTCTTATCGCGAGGTATATTTTCTTACCCTAGCTAGCAGAGTGATTTCTTACGATTACAAATACTTGTGTAAGCCGCGATCGTCTTTACACTCGCTCGAAGCCGCATGTCCGATGTCGTCTTTCTCCGATCAATAAATTGGTATTTGAAACTAAACACGCTTAAGTATTTGTTGCCTCTCTTTCCCCCGAGATGCCCGAGGATTGTCCTGGGTCGACCTCGCGACCGCGCGATCCTCGAGCTGACGAGCTCGTAAAAAGATTGCGGCAAGTTTTTCCTGGCTTTTCTCTCCGTTTTTCAATTTTCGGACTCGGTGCGCGCGACTTGGATAGAGACACTAAAGTACAAATTATTCCGAGAAAGTGGCGAGAGGCTTCTCCGGGTGATTCGTTCGATTCATTTAATCTATTATCGAATCGTTATCATGCAATATATATGTATGTGACATTAAATTAAATAATTTATAAAAATTAACTATTTACATCGACAGGACATGCAGCGCTTGTGACACACACATACATATACATGTCACATATACATGTATGTATATATATATGTATATATTGTATAATTTAATGCATTTATTTTATATATATATATATATATATATATATATGTATATATACCTAAGCACATGCTTGCTCTGAGAAAAAGAGGAAAGAAACAACTAAAAGAACTGGCGGTGCTCTCTCCTTGCGGATAATATAGTACTATGCCCTTACTTCATTAATAATAATTATAACATTTATGCATATCCGTTATACATAAGAGCCGCTGGAATTCTTTTGTTTTCGTCGATGAAAGCGTTCTTGCATTCGTTTTCTGTAAAAGTGAAGGGTATTTTGGCATTATGCGATCACGTTCACTGTACGCTGTTACCCATATCTGTGTGTGTGTGAGAGAGATCAGGAACATGGAAAAAAAAGAGAGGAAAACAAATAAATCTCCAAAATAAAAATATCGGTCAGTCAAAAATAAAATTTCATATTTCATGAAATTAATCTCGATATATATATATAAAACGGATGCGGCGGTTAATCGCAACTGAGAACGTCTCAAATAATTGTAAACTCGCCATGCAAAGGGACGCGTTCGAGCATAAAAAGGGGAAGAGGGGGGAGAACGTCGCGAGGTTTGTTCGTTTTTTCTTTTCTTTTTTTCACTCGCTTATTTCCTCTTTCATAAAATCGCGCGAGAAGCTTCGTGCCAAGATAGAAGACGTAAACAAAATTCGACCCACACTTACTCTAAAGCGCAGAGCTGCCTGGGGGGCCGGGCCGCCACCCCTTTTGTAACGCAAAACCGAACAAACCCACACAACGACACACAATGTAGGTTTTTTAATTAAGTGAATCTAAAAAAAGAAAAACAAGATGATTGTATATATATATATATATGTACATACATATATATATACGTATATTACGGCGAGGGAAGTTTGCGAAAAAAAGAAAAAAAAAAGAGTGACGACGGCGACTTTATTGGCGCGGCCCGTAACCGGAGGGAGACAGAAGAGGGGGAGGAAACTACTCCTTACCACGATTGCCGGTTCTGATGGCGTTGACGTTACTCAGGTGGTGCTGACCGGCCCGAATCGGCTTCGCGATCTGCGCGCTCGGTCCGCGGCGCGCCAGATTCTTTTGCCTGACCGCCTCCTTGATCCGGTCCACCTCGTACTGGTAGCGCTTGCGGTCTCGCATCGCGCCCTCCTTGGCGTCGCGCAGCGCCGTCTCCAGGGCCTTGACGCGCTCCATCGTCGCCCGTAATCGCTTCTCCAGCTTAGGCAGTTCGCAGCGGAGGTCTGCGTTGTCCCTGACGAGCTGTTTGTGCACCTGCCATGTGCGAGAGAACGTGTGTTTTAATACGCAGTTAATATATTAATAGCGCGAATAAAAATAACGAGGACAAATTTAATTATTATATAAATCGATTAGTTAATAAGTGATGTATCAATAGAAAATATATTGGTGAAGAAATGCGAATTTCTTAACGCGTGATTTTTGCGTGCTGTTTACACGTTCGAGCTGTACCTTCGTCAGCTGGTCCAGGTTGTTCTCCAGGAAGGAGATCTTCTGTTTCTGCGCGAGGGAACCGCCGTCGTCCTCGTTATCCTCCGCGTTGATGGTCTTCTTTATTCTAGCCTGCAGATCCTGGACGAACAATTTGCGCAGATTGTGCAAGGTCTGCAGTTCTTTGGCTACCGTGTCCTCCAAACCCTTGAGATCCTTTCTCGCCTGGAATCGATTCCGACGCGACCGTGTAAATTCATTTCACCCACGATATCGTAAATTTACTTTAGACTGCTAATAAACTTAGCGACAGATCGTAACTCGTCTGTCGCACGAATTTGTCGAAACGTACTTGCTCCCGGCGCTCGTTCAACAGCAAAAGCTCCTGCAGCTTGACCGTCTTGTTAGCCTCCTCTTGCTTCAGCCGCTCGTAATCGGCCTGCATCTGCTGATGCGCCAGAGTGAACTTCTGATTGAGATCCTTGAGCTCGCTGATCAGCTCCTGCTTTTCGGACAGCTCGTCTCTGAGCGCGGCAACCTTCAAGCAGTATATTATAAATACAACGTTAGAAAATTTCGAGGAATCGCCGAGAGAAACACGGCGATTAAATCTAAAATTAGACAGTTAAAAATCAATATCTCCGGTTGAAATGTCGTTTCCACAAATAATATCACCTGTTTTTGATGCGCATCCCTCAGCTGATCCATCTGCTCCTCCAAGGCCACTCGCATCTTCGTCGCCGCCTCTTTCTCCTCGGCCTTCTCCTTGTTGGTGACCGCCTGCACTTGCTCGGCGGCCTTCAACTTGGCGCATTCCTCGCGCAACGCGTCTACGTCCTCTTCCAGGCCTCGCTTACGCGTCTCGGCCTCCTTCATCGACTCCGACAGCGTTTGCATACGGGCCTCGTGCTGCGAGATCAACAGTCGGCATTCGGCCAAGTCCTTCTCGTACTCGGAAACCTGGGCATTTGCGCAAAAAAAAAAAAAAAGATCAATCAGAGGAAAATGCAGGGAAGAGATCGGTGATTAATGCGCGATGACGTGAAACGCAGTCGCGCGACCACTCACTTTCTTGTTGCAGTCCACTTGGAAGCTCTCCAATCCCTGACATCGCTGGACCAAATTCTTCACCTCGGACTTCATCTTGCTGATAAATAGCCGCGCCACCGTGAACTCCTCCTCCAGTTTACCGTTGCTCTCCGGCGGTGCGATCTTAAATTCAAATTGAGATCGGAATGAACAAAGCCGACCAAGTTTACATTAAATAAACCATAAAAATCTAACTCTTTACATTTTTATTTTTGTTTATAGATATTTGACATATCCTTACCTTTAGATTCTCGTTAGACTCGCCACCGATAGCCACGCCGATCTCTCCCAAGTCTTTCAGGAAGTTCGCTAGCATCTCCGCGATGCGCTTCCTTTGGTGGGCCGACATGTCGCGCAATTGTTGCAACTCGGACGCGGTGTTGTTTAAAGCCACTTGTTTAGCCAGGAGCTCCTCCGTCATCGATTCCTGTTCTTTGTTCTTCAGCTCGACCTAAAGTTAGAACATCGTGAATAAAAGTTCGTCCAAAGCTTTTCCCGAAGAGTAGCCTCTTCGCCCATTGTTCGCACGTAGTTACCTCTTGTGACTTTTGGTCGTAGTTGACCGCAAGCTCTTCCAGCGCTTGCAGCACCTCCTTCACCTCCTCCTTAGCGCTCTCGTTCTCCTGCTGTATTCGATTCATCTCCTGCTGCAACTGCTCGTAATCTCGTCTTGCGCTGGCGATAAGTTCCTCCTGTTCATCCATCTGCTCCTTCAGCTTCTCAACGTACTGCGACTGCTGATTGATCTCCTCATCCTTGTCGTCCAGCTGTTGGTACAGCCTCTCGCGTTCCTCCTCGAGCTTCTGCCTCTCCTCGTTCGAAAGGGAACCGATCATGAGACCGCCGCCGGGAGTAGCAGGCATCGGACTGTCGTCCAGTTTGACTGGAACAAAACAAAGTTTTATAATCAATGATCATCAAAACGTACACGTCTAGTCTCGCAGAAAGAAATTACAGTTTTACAATTCTAATCTTTTACATTTGATCTGTCGTCTTAATATATAGGACAATTAGGCGGCCGATTTTGTGTGTCTTCTTTACCTTCGACGGGTGCAGTGATCGGTGTGGTAACATCCGGTCCTTCAACCAGGCTAACCTGCTCCTCTAGTCTGACGGTCTCACCCTGCCGCCAACGCGACAATTCCGCCTCCAATTTGTCCACCTTGCCCTTCCATCTCGCCACTTTATCTTTCTCGCGCTCGTAACGACGTTTCCATTCTTCGGCCGTCAACTCCTCGTTGACGCACACGACGTTCTTGATGGTCTTGGCGCGTTTGCCTGCAATAAACGTATTCCACAAAATCTGCCGGCAACAGAGCGCACGCGCTGTCGTGCGTGAAAGAGATATAGTACAGTATATCTATAATACTAACCGAAATCTAAGGTCGATTTCGTTTCGGATTCGTTGAAGCTAGCGGGGGAGCAACAGATGATGATTGTGGTCCTGGCGTTGCCACCCAAGGATTCTTGCAGGATTCTCGTTAGCTTGGAGTCACGATAAGGAATGTGAGTCTTATTGCCGTCAGCCAAGGCCGAGATTACGTTACCAAGTGCAGATAGAGATTTGTTGATGTTCTTCGCCTCGTCTAGCACCGTTCCTTCTGCGCCGGTTTTAGAAACCTAAATGAAACGCAGGAAACATGAAAAATATAATAATAGTGGACGAAAGTAGATAAAAGATAGAAAAAGGGCGTATTTCTCATCGTCTAATCTCACCTTTTCGGAACCGGCTAAATCGACGAGGTACAGCTTGCCGGAGAGTTTCTTTTGATTCTCCAAATTCTCTTGTTTAACGTTTATAAGGAAAACGGAATGAGAACGTGAGCTGTGCTCGTTCATGTTGGTCACGGCGATGTGCCGGTTTGACTTGCCCTCCTCTATCACCTCAAACACCTCCTCAGGACTAGAAACAAACCGCTCGGTCGCGCCTTTCACGAACGGCACCCGGTTCTTGTCTTCATGTACGCTTAAGTTAACCTTAGACACTGCAATGGAAAAACACAGAGATTTATTTTAGGAGAAGCGTATCGATTGTGTGTCAAAATTAAATTTGTTTTTTTTCCTTCAAGTAAATAAATGTAGCGAGAGAGGACTCACCGTCGAGAAGATCCCTGATTTTATCCATGTAAATCTCAAAGTATGATACTTTGATATGGAATTCCAAGTTCTCCTCCATGCCGTAAATATGATTGAAGATGTCATTGACGATTCTCGGGATGATACCCTGTTTGTTAGGATCGCCGATGACTCCCTCCATTGTGTGCGTTTTACCTGCCCATTAAGAATGTGTAAGAAAAATGCTTCAATTTTATGAAATCATGGTATGAAAAATATCTGAAAGATCGAGAAATTTTTTTTCCCGAAGTTTTGAATAGAAATCTTAGAACAAAAATCACAAGATGTACACGTTATGATTTTTGTTTTAACATGTCCACTCAAACTTCGGAAAAAAATTTCTCGAATCTTTCAGATATTTTCCATACGTTGATTTCATAAAATTGAAGCATTTTTAGATATAAATAAAGAATATACAATTTCTAAGCGAAACTCTAAAAATCTCAAACGAAACTCATATAATACTTGCAAAAACTAAATCTTTAAAGACTGATTATATTTCTTTAAAAATTAATGAAAGATTAAGAAAATAATCTAAGAGATTATTTCTTTAAAGATAAAATATTGTGAGAGGTCGAAGATCCAAAACACAATTTTAGTGTCAGGAATAATATATTTCTTACCGAGATATGAAAGAGATACGAAAGAAACTTAGCGCTATCGCCAACGTAATATATCGCCGATCACCAAACAAAGACTGACTCGCTATTCTCATCCACGATGCACGCAGCACGAAACGAGAAGATTCCTCGACCGTTAAAAAATAAAAGTGCATCGCCAAAAATGAATATGATCGCCCGCAGGTCGCGCTATCTCGCGATACTGTCGCGCTTCTATAACCGCGCCTCTTACAATATTTAAACAAAAATAAAATAAAATAAACATTAAAATATCTTGAGAATTTTGGATTTTTCCAAGTTTTTCTGGACGGTAAACACCTGGAGGTCGATTGTGTATCTTGAAATGAGATGAAAATTACAAAAATAAGCAAATTCACTAGATATTGGCCAATGAAATTAAAAATCATTCTAGTGAATTTGCTCACTTTTGTAATTTTTATATTCCGAGATACACAATTGAGGGCCTCATTCTATGATAAAAAAAGACTTTTTACCTGACGATGTTTGACCATATGCAAAAATGGTTCCGTTATATCCTGCCAGGACATCTGTGACGATAGACTTTGCGGCCTCATTGTAGACTTTGTCTTGCGTTGCATTCGGTTTAAATACTTTATCAAAGAGGTATACTTTGCCCTACAATCGATATATTATTTAGCCAAAAATTCAGAAAACGCTAAGCTTTCAATAAAATATCTTATTATTAATAATCTAGTTATTACAGTGTTGGCCGTAGGTATAAAGCACCCTCAGTTTTTTGCATTTTCTTGGAAAAGGTAGTAATAAAAATCAAAATTCAAAGGACTGACAAAATATTAAAATTGTTATAAAAATAAATATTATTTTTCAAATAAAACCACCTCTTTATTTTTCGTTAAATATAGAACGTTTACGTATAAATTTGTGGGGATGCTTTGTATTTACGGGCCAAGACTGTACAACCAAAACAAAACTTTCCTCATTTCTTAACTACTACAACTATAATAATCTATTCATCGTAAACTTCTAATTAAAAGTAAACACCCGTAAAATTTCAATTATACGAAAGATATCGAGTCGCGAGAGAATTACCGTTGCATTTATCGCGCGTACCGTGTTTTTGCAATAATTTAAACTCCCAAAAGATTAATACGATACGAACACAGAATGCTAAACGCAGAACGTTTAAAATCCTTAGCAACATGTGCGCTATGAGTCATAGCTCCACATCTATCACGGATCTATATACACACACACACACACAGAGAGACCTATATAGGACGACTATTATCTACCACACGATATATGCAACAATAAGGGAGAATGGGAACACATTGAGCATCCCGCGACGAGATCGAACGTCGAACGTCGACGTTCACGTAGGCGCGAGGCGCCCCCCGGGAGACGTACCCCGATGGAGATGCAGTTCTCGTCGCCGCCGGACGGGAACTTGACGATGAACTTGGAGCCGGCCTTCTCCTCGGAGTCGTTGAGCGGCCGGAACCTGCAGACCACCTTGATGCTGTCCTCGGCGGCGATCTCTCGCTCCCGCGGCGTCTCCATGGCCATTGCGTGCGGGGAGGTGACGACGGTGACGACGACGACGGCGGCAGGCGATGACGAAGAGGTGCGTGCGTGTGCGCGCGCGCGCGCCCGTCCGTCCGTCCGTGTATTTGTATATATATATGTACGTGTGCCTGGCACTCGACTCGGTGGTATCGGCGCGGCCGATACTCCTCTTCTCTAAGCTATATTCTCCCCGATGCCTCCGACTATCCGCGGCTACGATTGCACGTAGAGTGAGGCATGTAGGCGACGGGATGGCATACAGGCGCGTACCGCATGAAGGGACCACCTCCGTCTACCCCTATATCTGTCTCCTTCCCTCCCTTCCCCGGCTCCTACCTCTCGCCTCCTCTCGCCACGCTCCGCTCCGCTCCGACAACCAGGCACTGGCCCGTCTGTCTGTCACCGTTCCACGCCGAGCAAGCAAGATGGCGGTCGATGAGTGGCTGGCTGACTGCAGGCCTGATCCTGGGGCCACCACGAGGCCCGCTCCGGGAACGAGGCCTCGGCGACGAGGCACGACAGGCAACGACGCTTCGGCAGGACCCGCCCGCCCGCACTCGCTCTCTCCTCTCTCTCTCCCCCGCCCACCCTCTTTCTTCCTCTTTTTCGATCTCTCTCTCTCTCTCCCTCCCTCTCGCCCTCGTTCGATTCGAAAATCGCGAGTCCCCGCGTACCGTTCTCTTCCGCTGCGAGGACGGAGGCGATCACGCGCGGCGGCTCTGTACACACGGCCTATACCTCTTTCGGGAGAGAGAAACTCTTCGCGAGTGCGATTCCCCGAGTGCGCCTCGCGCGCGCGCGCAATCGATGACGGAGTCCGCGGAGTCGGAGAGACGTGACGGCGGCCCCCGACGCGACGTTGCGCGCTACATACGGCCCGCAAACACCTACACGTCTACACCTACACCTTCATTATCATCATTACAGGTCCGGCGGCACTGCCACTGTCGCCCCTCACCTTTTCCGAGGGAGATATGCCATCAGGCACTGCCAGCGCGATATGACTCTGTTCTTAGCAAATCATCATTCTTAATTATTTGCACCTCGACAAAAATTATTATTATTGTCATTAACAAATCTGTAGGCGCGGCAATTAGAAATTTTCCAATCCTTCGAGGCGAGATCTCTTTTATCGCTCCGCGCGCGTTCCGCCTCGTAATCGCTCTCATTACTCGCACCTCGAGCAGAGAGTTATTATTATTGTTATACTTTCATTACACGATTACATTCCTACACTTACACCTCCTACCCGACGACGAAAATCATGAGCAGGGACGCCGAGGCTGCGGAGACCTTGCCGTCTCATCGCGATTAATCTGTCTCGCGTGTCTTACTCTCGCGCCCGACTAGTTTCCGCACCGTCACAGCTGTTCGTTCCCGCCCGACGAACGAACGAAAGGACGCGCTTTTCTTTTACTCCGGAGTCAATCAATGTCGCGTGGACACTATGTTTATTTATGTCGCAGGAGATACTATAAGCGCTCGAGAGACTTCAGATATATTTCGCAACCAACAAGTTTTTCGGAAAAAGCTTTACCTTTGTCGTCCCTTTCATATACTTGCACTTTGTTCGATATATATAATAATGATTAGCGCTTTCTCTCTCTCGATACGGATATCTCCTTCAGTTCAAAATTTGAATTTGAAATTTCTGCGCGCGGTGCAGAATGGTGCAGCTGATTGTAAGGGGAACGCACACTTCCCGGGAGCGCAAAGGCGATACATATCGATAATAATGCCGACATACCTCGACATGTCGATGCATTAATTTACCGAGCCGCCACAATACGATTGGGTTACGAATCGGTGGATACTAGAACATATCGATAAAAGAGAGGAACTTTACTTCGTTATAAAAATCGTAGTAGATATAAAAAAAGACACTTTCGAATGTACATTATAAATTAGGTATAAAAAAACTTATCCTACGAGTATTTACTGTATAAAACGTTCACTGGTTTTTTTCACAAGTACGGCTGCCAGCCGCAGTAAACCCGGCACAGATTCGCGGGGTCCCGCGCCTCCTGCAGAAGCCTCTCCACCTGGCCGGGAACGCTGGACACCAGGCAGTCCTCGGTGCCTTGCAGCTTCTGCTCGATCCTCAAGAGCGCCCTTTTGGCGATCGTGTTGGTTTCCGCAGGTACTGAAGAAGGTGAAAATTAATTAACGACGTTCGGGACGGCGTTATAATCAAATCAGGAAAGCAACGAGTTCACTCGAACTTCCGATCTCAATTAATTCCCCTTACCTCGTCCGCTGTTCTCCGAGAAACGTTTCACGACGTCGCTCTGCATCTTGCAGGCCTTCTCCGGCGTGATCGCCCACGAATAGAGCGGATCGTACAGCAGAACTTGAAGGAGGGTGATGATAATCTGTCTCTGATCGCGCAGCATGGTCATTGTCACCTCGCAGCTGCGCCTCATGGTGCCCTCGATGCCAGAGGCGCCCATGGCGACCTCGATGTCCCTGGTTAGTCTGCAATGGAGGCGAGATGTTAATAACAACGTTTGAATAAAGAAAGATTACAAAAGTTTCAAGAATTCGGGGTTGCCACAGAAAATGAATTTTGAAATTCCCTGACTTTTTTCCACGATTTCCAAACAACAGTGGAAAATTTTCCATGATCAGTGTCAAATATATAATTCTAAATTTTAATGTTCAGAAGAATATACATATTACAAGAAAAGCTAACTTATATTATTAGAAGCGACATAAATTTAGAAGATTTAATAACATAATATAATCCCAAGGAAATTCAGGTCAACAAATTATTAACATTTTTGACATTGTTGCTTTGATGCTATACACTAAACTGCAAAAAAAATTCCTTTGATATAATTGAATTTTCCGTTGCTTGGAGACCTGACAAAAACTCAGTGGTAAAAGCAGAAAAATTCCTGTAGACATTTCTTTAATATCGCTAAATATTCAGAATATTTTCGATTGTGATAACAGAAAGAAGTCTCGAACAAAACCGTAATTTTCGAAAATTTCTTCGATTTTTATACAAAATCATTTTATTCTGTTATATTTTCTATTGTTTAATTCTAGAAAAGGATTTTCAAATCAGCAATACATACAAAAAATATAACGATACCGAACTGTCTATTTAAGAGTTACAGAATCGGGGTGGATCCTTTTTAAAAAGCAAAATTAAAAATTCCAGACTCTTTTATATATTTCCCTGACTTTTCCCGGTTTTCTAGGTCTGTGGCAACCTTGAAGAATATTTGACATGAGATTCTAATAAATTGTAAGAAAATCCTTTAATGGTTTTTCGCAGACAGAAATGATTCGTATGACTTTACCTGAAAGGAATTGTCTCTGGAATGGGCAGGAGCTTGCCCTGCTCGAAAGCCACCCCAAAATCGATGTGCACCACTTCGGCGGTGCGCTCGTCGATCAGGATGTTACTCAGATGTCTGTCGCCGAGGCCCAGAATGTAACCCGCGATGGACGTGGTGGCGACGCTGCGTGTATACGTGAGCGTTCGCTCGACCCAGGTCTCGGGCGATCGATACTTTTCCTCGAAGAAATGATGGAACGCCGGCTTCATACGTTTGCAGCACTCGAGGAAGACTTTCAATTTAACCTTGGACAGATCGCAAGACAACAGAAGATAAAGAACTCTACAGATCCGAAAACACGGTTGAAAAATTTAATTTTGATGTCTAAAAAAAATTTCATTTTTAATCTGTAATTATATAACAGAATTTTTATTAAAATATGAATGCCCGTGTATTTTACTAAAGAGAAACAATTAATGTCAGGATTATTAAAAGTTAATATAATTTGATTTTAAAAAATATAGAATTTTCGAAAGATTAAGTTAAATAGATCAAAAAACTAGAACAATTCTCATTGAAATGTATCATAATAAAGTTCACGTCTTAAGTCTGTCAGAACAATTAGTGGACTGAGAATAACGGAGAGATTTCTAGCCATCATTTACCTCGTTTGATTCTTGCGCGACGTTCTTCAACTTGTTCCTGGCCGCATCCGCGGTTAGGTCCCGCGGATAATACTTTTTGTGCAAACCGGGCGCGTCCGGGCTGCTCACCAGAGTCGCCGTGATCGGCAACGTGTTGTCGCACCACTCCAGCACACCCGACCTCTGCGTCAGCGGCACCACTTTGTACGTTCTGATACGTAGATTCCGCCGTTGCGTCTCCTTACACGTGCGCAGCAGCGTGTTCATCACGGTAAAGACCTGCTGCATCACCGCGTCCTGCCGTAGGTCGTCCTTCCCCTTGACCAACTGCCGGCGCTGCACGCCGTCGGTCCCGTTGCAGATGATCTTCTTGGGCGCGTTCACGCCGCCGACAAACTCGTAGGAATTCTGATACGAACGCACGCCAACCACGTTGTCGTAGTTGCGCGATCGGCTCACGGGTAGACTCAGGGTCGGTAGGAGAACGTTGTTCAGATTCTTGATCTGCGAAACCGGAGTCAGTTATCGTATCGCGATCTACGATTATTATTCTTTCCGAGAAGGCATCAAAACAATGATGAAAGAAATTACCTTGGTTATTGGCTGATCCCGCGATATCGAGTTGCGTTCATTGGGAACGCATTTGCCCTTGGGTTGCCAATAGGCGAAACTCAGCAGCGCCCGCGACAGGTTTTCCATTTCGTGAATGATCGCTCGCACAGGGGAGTCGGCCAGTTGGCCAAGGAGCTTCTTGGCACCTAGCACGCGACGCTCCTCCTTCCTCGTGACCGTCGAGCTCGCGTCGTACTCGTCGTCGCTGTGCAAATTCTTCAGCGCCAGCACCACGGGCAGCGTGTGATACGGGTGTTCCAGGGCGCATCGTTTGAGGATCCGGAAGATCCGTGCGGAGAAGCTATGCTGCTGCGTGGTGTCGTTGCTTATGTGAGCGGCCAGCTGCGGCACCAGCGGCACGAACTTGAACGACGGCACGGTATCCAGATTGGCCAGCAGATTCTTGTTCACCTCGTCGTCGTATATGTTGTCCAGCCAGAGTGCCACCAGTCGGAAGATCAGCAGGTCGTGCTCCTCACTGCTGCTCAGCGTCTTCAGGTAGTACTTCAGAGCCTGCGCGAGATAGTTGCGCCTCTCCTGCTCGATATTCTTCAGCTCGGCCGCGTCGTTCGACGTTTGCCTCTGATTGATCATCATGGCGCGCTTCAAGTATTGGTTCTTCATTTGCGCGTGGTCCACCTTATCCGCGCTGCTGCAAGCGTATTCCTTCAGTGCCTCGTACGTTGGCGAGTTCATGTACATACTAATTTGCTGATACTGTGCATCGGCAAAGCGCGCCAGTGCAACCTATGATGAAAAACGTATATAAAGTATACCAGGGTAAATAAGATTCCTTCTACTGAGTTAATTTAATTAGTTGAAAAGTTGAACGCGATAATAAAAATGAAGCTTAAAATTTAAGTAACTTGAAAGAAAGATAAATTTTTTCCGTAAATGTGTTCGTATATAATATTTAAAAATTTTAAAATTAAAGTTTAAAAATTACATATATAATTACATATATAATTACATATATAATTACATATATATATTTTTTAAGCATTATCTCAATATATAATTGATTCAGAAATTTCGTAAGTAAAAAATAAAGTTCATAATAATAAAGTATAATTTAATATTTCTCAATTAATACTGATCACTTTGCATACATTTATCCTCTCACCTGTGTATCGTGTAAATTTTTTACTACATCTGGTGTCGGCTTGTGGATAGCCTCGCTGGTCTCAATGGACACCAAGTAATACTTTTGTATCACCGCCTGAGGATTTTCAGACTTGGTCTCCGCCATCCAGTCACCATAGACCCGCAGAGCCTTGGCTCTCAGACTTGGCTTCGGATCCTTCCTCTCGATCAGGCTCCGTAACAGACGGCGTGCTATCACCTGCTCGCCTTTCATCCATTCCAAGAGCGATTCTTGATAGAGCAGTTGGTTCTCCAGATTCGTAGGTAGATTTTGGTGCAACTTGAGAGTTCCCAACGCTCGGGTGGCCACCGAGAAGTTTCCCTGATCCTCCGCGATCTTCGCCAGATCCAGGCAAGTGGCAAAAAATGCCTCCTGCACATTCGCATCCGTTCGTAGGGGCTCACGGATGCGGCACATGACGATACGCTGCCACAAGATCGGTTCGACGTGATCGAACTGACCGATCAGGCTGATTTGGTTCCAGCGTCGCAAAATCACCGGATACGTCTCTTCCGGGGAATCAGCTGCCCAGCTCAGCTGCTCGATCTCGCGCAGCAGCCGCAATTGCGACAGCTTCTGATTGATCGTTTTGCTGCTCTCCGGGCTGATCACTCGCAGCTCGTGGATCACGCTCATACGGCCGCACTCGATCGCCCGATCCGTGCCCCGCCGGTCGCTCTCGTGGAAGCACTTTAGCGCGTGGTAGTGGTGCACATGGAACGCGTTCTCCAGTGACTCCAGTCGCAACTGCTGAGATTGGAAGTCGTTGTAACTGGCAACGGTGGCGTCGTTGGCGGGTAGGTCCCACTTGCCGAGTCTCCAGGCGCATTCGTAACTACGAGGAAGAAATTCGTTTTTTTATCAATTCTTATACGATGATCCATCGTAATCAATAACACACATTAATTTTCTACCTGCAATTTTTGTTTTTGTAATTCCATATATGTAATTCACCTGAATTTCTCATCCAAATTACCGCCCAAAAATTGCAATTGCAGAAATTGCAGTCCCGAGTGGTGCAGCGCCTTTGCCATCTCCACCCTGGCGTTCGTCAGCGACGAGGGATTGTGGGACAGCTCGATGTCCTGCGCGAGCATGACCTCATTCCAGCGATTGGTGCGGGCGTAGTATTGCACGCGGGAGTCGTGATCAAGCACGTGCGACGACCCGGCGCCGGATTTGGCGTCCGGATCGCTGATGTTCAAGTACGTGTCCAGCATGATGTTCTGCAGCACCCGGCCGATCTCCGGCTGGCGTTCGTAGATGTAGTCGATTCTCGGGTCACTGCTGAAGTCCGGATAGCCCGTTGAGATCGACCCGCAGGCGAGTTGCGCGAACAGCAGGGCCGTGTAGTACGCGGAGCACTTGTGCGCCGCCCTGGCCAGGTAGACGTACTCGAGTCTTAAGATCGCGCCGTCCGGCAGCTGGGCGCGCACGTGGTTCACCACGTCCAGCATGCGGCGTACGATCTTCTGGTCGCAGCTGTCGCCTTTCGACGTCGGCGATACGGTGGTCTCCGCCTCGTTGATCGCAAAATGTTTCCTAGCAATTGATTTGAGATATGAACATAACATCTCATAACATTAAATCCTTCATCGTTTGAGCGCTTACATATCAGAGTTGCCACAAATTCTTCATTCTAAAATTCCATGACTTTTCCATGACTTCCAATAATATTAAAAAAATGTTTTATGTTCGTTTTGATTTGAAAACTATTTGAGAACTGTTAAATATTTTGTTAAGCAATTTAACATAGCAATGTAAATTACTATTACTGTCGTACGTTGATGTTGCTCGTACTTAATTGCTAAGTTATTAGTATTCCTTTATCCTTTTCTTTTATCAATATGTATATGCGCACAATTCTTTTCCTCTGCTTACAATACAAGAAACATGTAAATATAGATTCTTTTGTATAAAAATTAAATCTTGTTTATTGGAATCTCCGACTTGCTATTATACAAAGATTTACAAACTTGAAAGAAAAATTACAAAAATTATAAAGTCAATTTTAATTTTATTAATTTGTTCACAAGTGACACAAGAAGTTTAAAAAAAAGTTTTAAATAAATTTAAAATTCCAATGCTTTCAGTAAAGCATTTTAAACCTCCATTAAAAAAAGAGAGTTTACATTAGCTAACAAAACTGTATAAGTGTGTGATAAACGTATATTAAACTTCTTTAAATCTACGAATTTTAATTTTCCAGAAAATTTTGTAAAATTCCCTGACTTTTCCCTGATTTCCATGATCATTTTCAATTTCCCTGACTTTTCCCTGATTTTCATTTTTGTGTGGCAACCCTGCATATGGTTTATATGCATATGATTAATAAACTAATAATACCTGAAGAATTGATTGACGCAATCACACATGGCGCCGATGAAGCTGTCGTTTTTATCGATAACGAGGTAAACGATTCTTGGCAGAATCAGCTCGCAGAATTCGACGCTAAGTCGGCAAACCGACAGGAAGTGCTCCAGGTAGGAGTCCGCGAAGCATTCGGCGACACTGCAGGTGATCTTGATGATCCACTCGGCGTAACTTCCGCCACTGACCGTCCACAGCGGATTTTCCGGATTCATTACGACGCGAAATCTCGCGGCGTCCACGTAAAAGGACGTCTGCTTGACAGCACGGTTACGAGCAAATGGTCGGATATAGTCGATCTTCAGAGGTGCGCACTCGAAGGCGTTCGACAAGTTCTTTGAGTACTCGGGGTCAACTAGTTTTTGGCCGTAGGTGGTTGACAGCACCGAGTAAAGGGCATCGGCGCTTACCTTGAACGAATATATAATATTCATTCATTAATATATTATTCATGCTAAGATTTTTAAAAGTATTTTTTTAAGAGAAACGATACAATTAAATGCTAAACACCCTGATGAAACGAAAATTTTAGTTTCTGTTTGTGACGTTACAATGAAATGAGAATTTGAGATAACACGAGATTTAAATTGTAATTATGTAATAGAAACCTTGCGAAGTTCCACCGAATTTTCCACGAGAAAGCTCGTTAACATCGCGATAGATCGATAGGTCAGAGCCTCTATCGCGAAGTCCGCTTCTTGGACGAGACTTCCGACCGGTCGCAGAGCCACTGTCGAGTCTATCGGGCCTAGTTCGCCAAGGCATTTGGTGGCCTCCATTGACACGTGCGGATTAGACGATTCCGTCAGCTTGATGAGTCTGAGGAGTGAGAATTTTTGAAAATTTATTATGTGTGATAAAATAAAAAAAATGTAGAAACGAGAGGACATCAAAGAGAAAGAGATTAAATATATATATATATATATATATATATATATATATAAACCTATTTACGCTAATCGGTTAAATAGTTATTGCAGATTACGAGACGAGAGAGCATTATCTACACACGACGCATGGAGCCGTATAAGAACGCTGCGTTAACGACGGACGACAATGCTCGACTTCCGCAAGCGTGTCCAAGAAGCGTACGATTTCATCATTAGCAGAAATTTGTTTCGTGACGTATCAACGGACCTCGGAGGAAGGTGAATTTATTTCAAAGATTATGCTTTCGACTAACAAATCGGCACACTGTACGTATGGATATTATTTCAACTCTTTTTCTCGCGCAATT